ACCAGCTAAGAATGATGAGTACCAGTTCATGATGAGAACCAATTTAGGATGAGAATTAGTTTAGGATGAGTACCAATTCTGAACAAGTTACAGGTTCATTGAATGCTGGAAATTTAGTCAGACTGTGGGAAATGTTAACTCCTCTAGGATGTTGACGAGTTACTGTAACATCAAAAACTGAACGTATGTGAATTTATCAGACAGGGCATTGAATTAAAGAGAATTCCTGAAGGGGAATGTGGAATGTGAACATGAAAATTACAAAATCTGTCATAAGTTGTATAAAAAGAAACAGTTGTAACACATAATAATTGGTTTGTTTTGGAATAGATGGAAGAAGTTTGTGTCTGTCCGTCAGAAAAACAAGTTACTATGTACAGTTAGAAGAAGAGAGACAGGGATTCCCATGTTGTAAATGTGAAGTCAAAATGTGAAGCATGTACATACTCTAATAAATATTGTGAAAAAAAGAAATATTTTGTTGATTATTAATTTGGCATTGATTTTCAGAAGCTGTTTGGATGACACATGCTGACATTCATTTTCTGATGATGATTTGAATTTAAGGAATATTAATTTCAATTTTTTTTCTGAAAGTGATTTTAATTTATCTGTTTTAGAACAAAGGAAGAAAATTTTGCCTTAATTTTTTTTTTAGTCTGCATTGCCTAGCGACCCACTTAAAATATTCTTTACCCAAACTTTTTCCCCCCAGTCATTTTGTGATATTTTGCAAGGGGTGAGAGGAGTGGGTGGGGGAAATGAAATCAACCCCTCTCCTAGAAAATGCTAGATCAGCCTCTTGATATAACAATTTTTAAAATGAATTTGTCCTGTGGATCATGTTATTATGAATAAATGGATGGGATGGGGATCTAACACAAGAGAAAGATTACAGGCATGCATTCTTATTTTGGAAATAAAAGGGGGTACCTAAAAAATCGAAAGCACAAAAGAGTGAGAATGAAAAATATCCTATTTCACATTGGAGGGGATGTTCAACTTTCTTTTGGAATCAATTTTTATAAATACATGTATATGTACGTTATCACACCATAAACCATGATTTAATATACTGAAGAAAGAATGTAGGGGTTGGGGGACCAGCCTTTCAATGTGAGTTTCTTTTTAAACTTGATTTTAAAATGTTTAAATTTGAATATTTAAAGGAAAAAGGCTACATTTTTATTTGCCAACAAAATTTCACAGCAGTTGTGGAACAGTCCTTTAACAATTTTACTTCTGGTTGCAAGGCCGTAACTAGGCTGAAGCTTTTAGTAAGGCAAGTGATCTGGGGGCACCCATTAGTCACACGCGAGTCCATGGTAGTTCCCTGATTTTCTCGGGGGGTGGGAAAATTCCCGAAATCTTGGTTTTTATAGAATAAAGGCTCGCATGTAATTGTTGAAAGTTTTCACGTTTCATGGGCGTCGAAAGCAAGTTGAAAGTGAAAAGGGGCTAAGTAAACCAACGAAAAAAGTACTGATAAGACCCAATTTTCAATGCCTGTATTACGCATGTCCATCTTTGAAAAAAATGGGGGGGGGGGGGGACTAGGGGCTTGTCTTCCGGATTGTTAAATGTAAAATATATTTTTTAAAGTTTGTATCTACATTAAATACACTCTAAAAGTTGCTGTAATAAAGATTCTGACATGATCAGACAAGGAAAATAATGTTTTAAAAAAAGGTACTATACCTATTTACATAAACTCTATGCCCCCCACCCCACCCCCCGGTTCCGACGCCTACGCGTTTGAATTATTTTTAAAGGGCGTGCTGAGATGATCAATTTAACATGCGTTCTTAACGATAATAATTAAAAACACCTGGTGAGATGAACAATTCACAGAAATTGGAACAAAAAGAAAACATAATTAATTGATTCAAGTTCAAAATTTTGTTACGGTCTTGGGTTGTACTTTTTTCCCTTATAATTAAATAGATATTTTACATTTAATTAATATAACTTTTACAGTTACTGACAGCCTAATTGAATTATTCTATATTACCCCCTTCCTTAACAGAAAATTATTAACTTAATTAAATTTCTCCACATTCAGAATGTAAAAGTATTAATTAGCTGAGAAGTAATGGACAAGGAGAAATTTATTTTTCATTATGAAGTACAAGTGTATTTTTTTCTTTTAAGTTTGCGTTTGTATATTTATTTCAAATATTTGCGTTATTGAAATACGTGCGGATTACGCTTAAAAACTTCTTGATAAATTAAATTGCTTCTTTTGAATGCCACATATCTGTTCAAATTGTGGTTTTTTAAATATATACATGTACATTTATGCGACTTTATATTCAAAATATATACAAGCGCAAACAGTTCATAACACTCTTATTCACTGGAAATACTTGATTTTTTTTTTAAACTTTATTTTTTTTTTATATATATAGTTTTCTTTAGTTAATAAACTTTACAAAAATTGTTCTAAAAATACAGAATATGTCATTAATTTCTAGGTGCGATAAATTCTTATCAATCTGATTAATTAGTTAGATTAACTTTAAATCTGATGCTATTGTTTACAAGTCTGGTTAATTATGGCTCTTTGATTTATTTTTCACGACTGAGTAACTGTAAAATTTAACTGTTTATATTACTCCCATGACGACCACGCAGTTTCCTATTTTCAGCCAATCAGAATAATCCAAAATCACGTCTCCGGTAATCGGGCACCTGACTTCCTGTGTTTACAGATTTTTAGACCGTAAAGTATCGACACTACAGTTCCCCCTAAAAACAGAATCTAAAGGAATTCAACCGAAATAAGTTTCAAACGGAATGTATTAACCTACAACAAAAAAAATTTAGGTGTTCAGAATCCAAATACACGCCAGAAAACAAACTTTTTTCATGCTGAAATAGAAAACTTTTCGGTCATTACCCCCGGTCAATACTTCATTATTTTTCACTCAGAAGATGGTGGATTATACGTACGATGATGACGGTAACCCAGTGCGTCGTTTGAATGAATGCTATGAAGATGCGTTCTCTGATACCGAGGATCTGATCAACCCGTTCGTTATTAAGGGGGATGGATTTGATGTCACTCTGTCCCTGGCGCGTGGTATGATCAGCTGGACCACAGTCAGCCCTAAAGGTAAACACAAATAACAAATGAAAAAGTAAGTTCTAAAGGTAAACATACAGCCTAAAGGTAAACATACATAGATATATAACCTTCTATATAGCTTTATTAAGCTATTCAAAATAGCTTGATAAAGCTATTTATATGCAGTTTTTCACAAAAACAAAGAAATAAACAAAAAGTAAGTATTTGACTATTCATAGATGTAATGGACTATCAAAAATACAACCTAAATCATAGTTCTTACATTGCTGCTGTTGAATACTTTTAGCAAAATATGAATTTCCATTGTTTGAGTAACTGTGTGTGCGGTGAGGCATGGGTAAGTATGATTGCTTCTCATTGTGCTGACACAGTTATCATTCAACTGTCTCCTTTGTAATTTCAGAAAAACTTATATAGAAAAACTTTTAAAACTGTAAAAAAATTTTTTTACATGCATTGTATTCAAAGAGAACAAAGTTTATTATTTCCACTGCACCTAGAGATGGAGGGGGTATGATGGGGCACTCAATATACTGTTATTTCTAAAGGTAAGCACAGTGGAATAATTAGTAAATGTAAAGGGTAAGAGTTATTCCAGTCAGTCATAAAGGTAACATGTAGAAAACTTCTTAATGTAAAGTTAACCCCATTCTCCTTTCACTCCTGACGAGTTATTCTTACAGGTAAGGAGGAGCCAACAATAATTCACATGTTTTTGCGAAATTTTGATTCCAAAGTTACCAGTAATCATGTGTGATATATATATCATTGTGATGTTTTTTTTACCTTCAGTGAAGAAAAGCAAGATACCACTCCCAGGAACAGCCACAATCTCCAAGGGAACAGTCGACCTTCCTCTCAAGGACATATACGGGGTCCAGATCAAACGGAAGAGGGTCAAAGGTCAGGTGGAGGGGGAGGGGCTGTGTCAGGGGTTCACAGTGTACACCTATTATCAATTTGGACCAAACTGCTGGAAGGATCTAATTATAGATTTTGAACATCCTAGTGAATCCCTGTGTAACAAGTATTATGATGGGATCTATTCATTTATTAAAGGTTTGTATTAGTTGAAGTGTGTGTGTGGTTTAACTGATAGCTGAGGTTTTGATTTTGTATACTACTGTTTAATTTTTATATGTCAAACACTGATATTTCAAAAACAGTGGATATAATGAATATATGTCATTATTAAAGGTTGACTTCGTATTAGTTGAGGTGTGTGTGTAGTTTTACTGATTTTGTATACAGTTAAACTTCAATGCATCAAATATTGATATCTCTAATTCAGAGGAAAACACATTTTTGATATTGGAGGATTTCAGATATCAAGGATATAATACAGTAAAATTTTGTTGTGTCAAACACTGATATATCTGTAATGCTGTGGATATGTCAAAGTGATTTGGAAGTCACAACCACTCGATTCTTTAAGTATCTTGCTTCTGATATCCCAATTCCTCTGATATATTCCGAAGGATTTTCTTGATCCCACTGGTACTAATTCGAGATATCATGGATTCACTGTACTGTTAGTTGAATTTAAGTCACTATTTCAGTAAATTTAATCCACCATGAATGTACATTTGTTTACAGATTTTCCGGGAAGACCTCACTCCCTGAAGTTTTTTATGCAGACCCATGCTGGGGCTCGGACAGGAAGTCAGCTGTACAGAAGTCGGATCTTACCGATGCTCCGAGCTGCTAATCTCAGCGTAGACTTTCTGGGTATGTCCTCTATGTATCTCTACAACAACAGAAAAATTAAATCATATGTACATGTATGCTATGACACACAAATTTACCAGAAGTAACATTATTTAGTAACAATATTTCAAAAATGCAGGTTGTCCCTAAAAATTGAAATAGCAGGGGACATTATGTGGAAATGTAAGATACATGGCATCCTACTAGCCTGGGCTAATGTGTTAACCTTTTAGCCTAATTGGTAGAGTGCTCTGGAATGGCAAGCCAGAGGCCCAGGGTTCAATCCCCAGCAGAGGCAATAAATTGTCTCTGTCAAGAAATGATCCACAAAAGAATTATGACTGGGAGGTTTGTTATATAGTCTACCCTTGATTCCTCCCCACCCTCAAAGATGAGGTCTCATTGTCCAAAGTGAGATGCTAATTAGCAGACACTGCAAATCATGGGTTGCATAAAAGGGAAGGGGGTTGGCAAACATGGTTAGGGTTTTTTTTTAATTAGTTATCATGGATATTAGAATGCTTGCAACTGAGTTGAACTGATTTTGTTGTAGAAATACAGCATTCAGAGCATGTGAAACAAGAAATGATCCACATCAACATTGATGATTATGATTGGTGAGTTACACATTAGTGTTGTTATATATAGTCTCTCCCCCTCGTCCCCCAACCCATTACAAGTCAGTGATAAGTCTCATGTTGATTGTCCAAAGTGAGGTGCCTTTATTGATATGATCATAAAATTCTTTTAATTAATTTGGTACATCTGAGAACGGTAAAAAATTCCTTCCTTTTCCAAGCACAGTGTATGTAAATTAATTGGACTTGTCAGCTATTGATCAGCTGTTAATCAGAGTTAACAATGTCACTGGATTCTGGGCTGTGATACTGGAGTACACAACAATCAATGATAATAATACGCAGTGATAGCAGCCAGTCTTATCCTGCCTTGTATGAATAATTTAACATTATAGGATAACTATAAACACTTAAAAGTTGGATTACAGCCACAGTGTATAAAGGAAAACAAAGCCTTGTAAAATAATTAATATCAAAGATTACAATAATTAAAAAAATATTGTTAATCAAGTATTGAATGGCAAATAATTTCTTTTTAAAATCAACTATGGGCAAAAACGTAACACTGCCTTGGTCAAATGTAAGGCTTAACATTTGTACAGTAGCAGTTAAGAGTTTTTCAGATGAAATTTTAAAATGTGATTTTGTTAAAGACAGAAGCTCCTTTATTTCTTAAGATGATAATAAGTTACATTAGGCATGTCATGATTTATTTTACTTTGAAACGTCTGTTCAGATTATCATTGATACAGTGATTAATCTTACCTTCAAATGATAATTTAAACAGTTATAAATATAAACAATGCCTTTATATGATTGCTCTATTCTTATTTTTACAATATTTGTTAAAAGGTCAAAAACCAAAGAAATAAGCTGCATTTAATAATGAAGCATCCCCCCTTTCAGGGGACTTATAAATGGCTACATTATTGCAGCTCCATGGAAATTCACTGATAACTGGTTTTCAAATTCATGTTATCTTTATTTATTATTTTTGTAGCATGGTAGCTATGGGTGGTGATGGGACCGCCTCTAAGGTTGTGTCGGGGTTAATAACGGCAACACAGACCAGGAACGATGTAGAAATACGACAGGGTTTTACCCCCTCTAGACCAGCCATGCCTGTCGGAATTATTCCCACCGGTAAGTAGAAATACACCATGGTTTCACCAGCCTGCTAGAGCAGCCATGTCTGTCGGAATTATTCCCACCGGTAAGTAGAAATACACCATGGTTTCACCGGCCTGCTCGAGCAGCCATGTCTGACAGAGGGAATTATTCCCACTGGTGACATAAAGCATTCCAAAGGAAACATCTTATCTTACACTAGTTTCTTATTGCAGTGAAATATTATAAAATTTAGTTTATTTTAACCTTAAAATAATAATTTCTTGCATTACAAATTAAAATGATTTTTTACCGTGTAAATAATAAATTGATCTCCTTTGCTTTTACAAGGAATGAGAGATTTTGATGGAAATAGAATAAGCAACAGTTGGTCAGGAGTATTTAAATTAATTTTCATGTTATAAAGGAAAGTATTACCGGTACAAACTAATTGTTATAAATCATATAAATCTTTGTTTCCAAGGAACCACCAATCACATCGCTCGTTCTGTCATGGGTTTGGCTGATCCCATCACTGCTGTTCTGTATATACTATTGGGTGAGTTGCTGTGTTTTTATCTGACCACCTTGCTTCTTGCATTAACTAAAGAATGCACTAGTAAAATTATTTTAATTAAAAAATCCTGTTAAGTACAAATTAAAAGCCATGTTCTCTTTGATCAATTTATGCAATCAGAGATTGTACAGTGAAAACTTTTTATCTCATTGATTGTACAGAGGTAATAAAAATATATTAAATATTGATTGATTTGGACATAAAGGGTAGAATTGTTAAAGTGCACAAAAAAGGGTTGGATTTTCCAACTTTCTTTGACACATATCTGTGGAATTCCATATGATTGAGATACAGAAGTTCAGCTGTACATCATAGTTTTGAACTTCTTTTGGCCAATTACACATTCTTCTTATCAATTCATCCAATCAGAGGTCATGTATCATAAATTCAGCCAATGATATGTTTTCTCTCATCATTTCAACCAATCATTATTGAGAATGTCTGTATATTTAACAGGTTACAGTGTACCAGTAGATGTGTGCTCTGTGTTCAGTGAGGATAAGCTGGTTAGGTGGAATTTCGCTTGCCAGTATGGGTTCGGTGCAAATGCCCTCAGATATGCCAATAATTTCCGCCATAATCTCCTTCCCAAGAGTATAGATGCTGCCATTTATAAAGCCTCGTCTAAAAAGAAACTTTTGTAAGTAATCACTAAGAGAATAGACGCTGCTATTTATAAAGCCTCATCTAAGAAGAAACTTTTGTACGTGATCACCAGTGGTATAGATAATGAAGTTGGCTTGGGTTTCTCTTTATGTAACATCTGTTCAGTTCATATATTTAAGCATTAAAAGCCATAATCTCAAATACCATGCATGGATATATGTCAAAGTTATTTTCAATTGACTGTCCCAATTATTTGATTTTTAAATATTTCATGTTTGATATTTTAAAACTTTGGAAGTTTTTCTTGGGTTCGACAAGATTCCAGATAACAAGCTTTGACTGTTGTGTAGGATTTAAAATTAATTTTTATTTTACTATTTTTAGACCCTACGATTGTGATATTGAATACATTCCTGCAGAAGAAAGACCCAAGGACTGCGATCAAACTGCATGTTTGCGGGGGTAAGTATAGATGTCAGGGCACACACGATTTTTGTTTGTTGCTTTTTAGATGAATCACCTATTGAGCGTAAGATGAATCTGTTTGTCTTTATTTTGTAGATGTACGGTTTGTTGGACAGAGGATGTTAAAGAAGAAGATGAAGTAGAGGAATGTTTAGTGCAGCCATTTAATGATCTCAATACCTCCAACACCAGTGACACATTTGTAGGTAAGATACCCATCAATCAAAACCTGTGTCACAATACCCAATCAGAAACAGTGACACATTACCCAATCAAAAAGATTGACACTTTACCCAATCAGCATTGATGACACATTGCCCAATCAGAAACAGTGAGACCTTTGTAGGTTCTAAGTTACCTAATCATAAACAACAACATATATAAGGAAGCTGTTTTGTTTTCTTGGTTTCATCACAAAATCAATTTTCTTCCATGATTATTTGCATAAGGTGTTTATGCAAAACAAGTGTCACACGGGTAGATTGATTGATCATCATCATAGAACCAAAAAACATTTAAGTGTTTAATAGAATGACACATAGAACTGAGTATATACTGATCAAAACATTTTTCTGATGCAATACATTTTGATTAAGGGTCTACATTAAGGAAATGTTTTAGGAGAGACATGAATATTAATTTATTTTTTCGTTGTAGATTTGTCTAAGGATGAGAGTCCGTGGAAGGTGTCTAAGGGCTCCTTCCTACAGGTGTTAGGGATTATATACGGTGTTAATTTATTTTTTCGTTGTAGATTTGTCTAAGGATGAGAGTCCGTGGAAGGTGTCTAAGGGTTCATTCCTACAGGTGGGGCTGTTTTCTATCCCCGCCCGGAGCGAGTTGGCCCCCGAGGGACTCAGTAAATTCTCACACCTGAACGACGGCTGTATGGAGCTAGTGCTCATCAAAAACATCAACAGGAAGGACTTCATACGTTTTCTTAAACGTCACGGAAACTCCAAAAACCAGGTATGTCTGAATCTTTATCGAGATTGATTGGTTGATTTTTTTTCATATACCATTAAAAAATTTTGCACCTATAGAGCTATCAGCATCTTTAGAAGCGCCACAATTTTCTGCCTTTTCATGGCATTGACGGTTGTATTGGTTAAAGTTCTTTATTGTGTCAAAGCCTATCATAAGACAAAAATTTTTTTTATTGTTTCTAAAACTTTAAAAGTGTGACTTTCAAATCTTATGATGAGCGCTTCCCTTTGGAAAAGTCACTGATAATCTATGTTATACATACATGTATTAGATTTAACACAGTGCTTAGGAACAAGAATCATTAACCATGACTTCCTAGTCACATTTTAATCAGAGAATATGTTAGGCAAAAAAAAATTAATTTCTTGGTTCTCAGACCCTCCCTCATCTCTTCCAAGGGTGCCTCATTGACCCTTTTTATTGCTAAATCAATAAAATATAAACACCAAATCACCTCCCTCATCATCTTTTTAGGTTTTGTACAATGTAAAAAGCTGCCTCATCATGTTTGGGGGCAATAAAAAAGAAAAAAAAATGCCTCCCTCCCTCATCATATTTCTTGAAAAACGGCCTGAGAACCAAGTAATTAACTTTGCATGGCCTTATATTGTTTGTTAAATTATCCTGATAGCAACTTTATTGTATTTGAATAATTAAGATATTTTTTTATTATGACAACTTCTGTAAAATAACATTAATCCTAAAGCAAGGAGAAATTTTCATCATCTTTCAGTTTGATTTTCCATTTGTGGAGGTGATCCGTGTCAAGGAAGTTAAATTTCGTCCCCGACTCCCCACTGGCTGGAAACACACGGACCGTAAATTTCATGAAATCCAGTACAGAATGTCTAAGCTTGAACGCCAGGCATCGAAAGGAAGTCAGATCCTGGAAATCGATGACAGCGATGATGATAAGGACAATGTCAGTGAGCTGAGGAACCCGTTAGATGACATGAGTGATATAGAATCAGATGAAGATGAGGATTTTAAGGGATCAAGTAACAGTGGGAGTAGAAAGGTCAGTCTGAGAGTGCAAAGATGTATACCAAAACAGACAGTTTATATTAGTCCTAACTTCAGACCTGTTTACTCTTACGATTTCGCCGTATTTTATATGGATTTTTAGTCTAAAATACGTCTCACGGTTTGCCATTATGAAAATACGGAAATCGGGAAAACATTAGTTTGGAATTTAACACTTTTGTTATAATCTGTCTTAGTTTCACCCCTTTCATCGCTAAACAAGAAAAAGATTTCAAACACATAAGCGATGTCAGTTTGTCAAAACGCTGTGGTATTATTAAATGAAAGAGACCTTGTTGTTAAATTATGTTTTTGTAATCAGAAAAGCAGTTTTTCTTTTTTAATATGTGTAAAATCGATGGAAAGTGAAATCTTACTGGCAAATGCCAAATCTCACGGAAAAATCTAATAAAAAATACTGAGAAACAGCATTATGGGTAAACAGGTCTGTAACTTAATAAGAGCTGTGTTTGAAACAGGCACAGTTTCAGGAATCTTTTCAACACTGACACTGTCTTATTGAAGCTTTCGAAGGATTGAAAAAACTGAAAGTAATGGGGATAGGGTTGGGGGGTATGATGTAAATGAAGCTTAAGAAGGGTAGGAACATCACAAGTTAATGAAAATTTTAATTTATTTTAATTACAGAGCTCTGCAGGAAGCAACAAGAGTTCTGAACAGAAACAATACATAAATAACAACAACGTCATCGTAAACTCGGCTCATCAGGACCGTAATCTCGTCGGCCCGCAGTACCGCATGACCTTCGCTGACATGGACCGCATGAAGCGTAAAAATAAACAGATTAAAAAGGAAGAGAAGGCAAAGGCGCGCGAGGAGAGACATCTCCGTACAAAGTGGAATCTGGATAACGAGCTAGTGGATAAATATGAATTGGACTTCAGGTTAGTTATATAACAAGCTTGTGGGTAAATATGAACTGAACTTCAGGTAAGTTATATTACGAGCTACTGGATAAAGACGAGCTGGACTTCAGGTACATTATAGGTTGATAAATGTGATAATGCAAAATAAAGAAAAGGTGGAGACCAACACCTTTATGTTTAATTTTACATAAATTTCTGCCTGGATACTTAACAGTATTCAATAGGTTCTGTATCTTATAAGTTGTAAAGTTCAAGTTAAAGAAATAAAATAGATCACCATTGACATGATTTTGAATGGATGCAGTTACTGTGGTAGATTTTAAAATAAATCTACTGCTGCATTCTCATGAAGTGTTGGTGATCTGTATTAATTATGTCTTTAAGTTTGCAAACATGATAATGGTAAACATGATTGAGATCAAATGGTGACAGTTTCAGGAAAATATGAAATCGAACTAAATACAAATGTAAAGGAGGGGAATTTTAACAGCGAGTATTGGAAAATTCACATTAAGAAAGTGTCAGCACAGATGACCTCAGGTTAGGACAAATAATGAGTTAAACAATTCAACCTTAATACATTCTTTTTTTCTGTCATTAGAGTTCACCACGGCCTGATTTCCTTGTGTGGGAGGGGCATCACTCCTGGTTCTGTGTTCCAAGAGGTTGGCTGCCTACCGCTGGCCAGATGATTGACAGCTCCAGTCACCATGGATACTTCCAGATCTTGGTCTTCTAAGCGTTTTACAGTATTGCATTTTTGCATTAAGAGATTAATCACTCTGTAGAGTCATACAGCATTTAAATCAGCTCCAATGTTTAATCATCACAATCAAACTTTACATGGACCTATAGTGTATACATAGGATTGTACTGGCAATTTTATGCAATGGAGACCTATTACTCAATTTTAATTATTATTGTATGACAGTGCTTCTATTGTATATGTTACAAGCAATGTGTTTTCACATTCTGTAGGAATAATGTTTCCATTCTCAGAAAATAGTTTTCATTCTTTCGTTGCAGATCTTATTTATAAAATTGACATTAATACATTAAAGTTTGCAACCCTTTGGATGTAAACAGAATTTGTATAAGTTACATTCAAAATGTTTATTTGCTCAAGGAAGTTCTAGTGTCAAAATATTTAAGTGTAAGCAGTATTATTTTTAATAATAACATGAACTAATTAGATCTAGGTATCTATTTCTTAGGCAACTGAATAATTTTGCTGCTTTTTGGTCTAAAAGCATGAGATGGTACAGTGTACCGTGATTTAAACTGTCAAATATCAAAATCCTGATAGAAATAACTAGTAGATAACAATTTCAGTTTGTGTGTGCACTTTATGTGGAATAATACATAAGTCTGAAGAAGAAGTGAATGTTTCAATGTTTAACATTGTTTTATATGCTTTGTGTGATATTCATTTAATCATATCACTTACTCACACCCTCCTTCCATTTTGTTTCTAATTTCGGGAGGTACTGAGAATTGATTTACATTTAATTGCTTTATTTTGTTTAATGTGCTTTCTATGATTGTATAAAATAATAACCTCTCCCCCTCTCTCCCCTTTTTTGCTTGTGATTTAGAAAAAAAGCAACTTGCTTTTAAGATGTATTTATTAATAAATTGTATAATTATATATATTTTGTATGATGGTGCAATGGATAAGGCAATAAATTTTTATTATCTACATGATCTAGGTAGGGTTTTTTTAAAATTTGTAACAAATGTACAACAATATACATTTATTAGGTAGATATATAATATGTACTTAGTAGATACAAAAGTTTTAGGGCATATCAGGTCAATCAATGCAATTATTGACTTTCAGGTCAGGTATTTTATAGAAATTGTGTTTTTTGTGAATTTTGCAATTGGTTTGTTTTAGTTCAGAGAAAAAAAAATTGGCAATGCAATATAGTAGAGATTGATTCTTTTTGTCTAATTCTGCTTAATAAGAACTTCACATATGGAAAAGAATATCATAGATCAATGTCAAATTTATTCATTTAATAAAAAAATTGACTTCTGTCAGACAAGCTCTATTTTCATTTTTTATGGGAAAAAAGTCTTAAATGTCCTTAATTTGTCATGGTAATATAGTAAATTTTACTTCATTCTCAGTAATTAAAATTTTCAGCAGCATGAAACAGTTATGTATTATATATTATATGCATTTCAATCCACTGATTGCTTGGTAATAATGTTCATATACAGTAGCTATTGCAATGAATTGTACATTTGTGTAATTACATATACTGAATACAGGGAAATTCTTGCCTCACTTTATTTTTGCCCCTTTTGCCATACCCTTTTTGGAGAGAATTTAAAATGGGACAAATTCAAAGAATATAGTATAATTTCTTAATAAGAAAAACTATGACTGGTCAAATTTGATATGGGGCAGACTTGATTGTAAAATTAATGTGAAACGGTGACAATGACAATGGGCAAAAATAACCCTGTACAGTAAAACACGTTTAGTACGAACACGGATACAGCGAATTCACGGATATAACGAAGTTTTTCTGGGTCCCCGGCAAAATTCTTAACAAATCTTTGTAAAATTTTACGGTTATAACGAACTCTGATATAACGAATTTACAGATATAGCGAACTGATTTTGAGTCCCGTTGAGGTTAAATATAATGAATTTTACATCTTTTATAACGAACTTTCAAAGATTTCAAAATTTGATTAATTGAACTGACTTTATTTTCTCTCAGCATTTGTATATAAAATTAAATTCATAATAAAACCTTAGTTATCGAAGGTATGTTTTGTAATATTTGCTTCCCTAACATATTTGATAGTAACACTTGAAGGAAAACATGCATATTGCGAATTCGCTATATTTGGTTATACGAATTCCTTATATGGATATAATGAATTACGGATATAGCGAATTAGATTCACAGGTCCCCAGGACTTCGCTATAACCGTGTTTTACTGTATACAGTAGTTACATTGATGTATACACAGTTATGAAATGATTATGTTGTACATTAATGTTATATTAATACAGTTGTACATTGATTTAAGTCCTTATACTATTCTTATGAAAGTGTAAATTTAGTTAATATACTGATTGCCTGTAGGATTACATGAATAATATTGATGTTGTTCAGATAATCAGTATTGTAAAATTATTGTACAAGTATCCACAATGTTTTATTGTTGCTACAAGTAGATATATTAATTGTATATACACACTATCCATGTGTACATGCATCAGATACAATTTTGTATTGTGACACCTAAATACATTGAGTACATATACATTGTAGATACATTATGTACATGTTATGATGTATATTTATGAGGTATATTGTATATAAACATTGTCCATGTGTACATGTTACAGAAAATTTTCTGTTGGTGTGATACATAGATACATAGCTGATTAGCTTACAGGTGTATACATTTATAATTAGATTGTATATTTAATTTTGACATGCCGTCCTTCAATATATTTGTATTGTTGATGCTGCTTTGCTGTTTGCAAACTTGATATAACTGTGCTTTCATTATTTTTTTTAAAGAATCTTCGTTTTTTTTTATTCAAAGTAATTATTTATTATTTTTTTTTTAATTATTATGATGTTTATCCTTTTCCGTCCTAGAAATAAATTGCATTCCATATAGTTGAGGCATATGAAGTTAGAGTGGGGATGGCAGGTGGGGGGGGGGGGCTTAATTAGTGATATAGGTTTGTCACAGCCCCTCCCCTACCCCCATCCCACATAGTTAAATTATACAAAACCTCGCACATTTCCTGAGAAGGTTAAATGTGCACACAGGTATTAATTTTCAGTGTATCTTCAATATTTATTTTGAATGCTTTATCAAAGATTTTACATTTACATGTATTTAAGTGTGATAGCTTTGTACATTTTTTGCTTTCATATTTATGCTGATCTACATGTACTTTAGTCAATTTATGTGAGTTTAATTTTAATCCCACAATGCTATCCTTTGCCGCTTTCATGAAGAGATAAATTGTGACATAATTATTATAGAGAAAAAATGAACCATAAATCAGTAACACAGCTTATAATAATAACCATAACAACAGCAAAACGTCTTCTTTACAAAAAGTCAAATTGAAATGAGAACACAAAAGTTCATAGGGTAAGCTATTACATGTATATCTAGTCAGAAGCAAAATAGATTTTTAAGTTTCTATGGTTTTTATGAAATCCATATCAGATCTTTTATTTGCCTCAAATTTGCTTCAAATTTGATTTGGTGATCTTTAGATTGAGGCATGTCAGATTTTTCATGAAGTCATTGTCTTATTGAAGCTTGAATTTTACAGATCTTGGTTTTGTTGATGCTTGTCTTTCATTGGTATTGTGAAGTTGAAAATGTTGAAAGACTTTTAGGCTAATAATTTTCAGAAATACTTAAACTTATAGCCATTGTTTTACAATGACTACTGAAAAAGTTATAATTTTTGTACTACAGTCAGCCCAGTGTTCCAATTTACTCTCGCTGAGATTTTAAAGATTTTTATAGCAATACTTACCACTGTTTTCACAATTTTAAAGTTATTTTAAGCTTTGTAGTATTTCAGGATGTTTTATATCTCACTTAAAAAAAAGCAATTATTCTCAGTCTGATGTGTCTGAAAGATAAACTTAGGTTTAGTTGTAAAAAAAATCAGAGATTAAAATTGACTGTAAGATAAATTCGGAGTAATTGTAAAATCCTGAATTATCTCCAGATTACAGGTTGTACAGTGTAGGATAAACCAAGACTGCTTGTAAAGTCTACTAAGCAGGACAACTTGATTTTATTCTGTGATTATCTGTAGTTATCATTGTATGGAAACAGTATTGTAAAATCACATGTATTGTTTTGATAATAAATATGCATAAATTATGAAAATATATACTTCTGCCTTTGGATTCATTGACAGACATTAAAAAATTAGTTGTCTATAGTTAGTATTAACAAAGTCAATATGAGCTTGTGCTTTTATAAGTGCACATTGATCATCGTCAGTCTGTCTGTCTGTAAATTTTTAACATTTTCGACCTTTCAAAACCACCGGACCAATGTCAACCAGACTTGCCACAATTCATTCTCGGTGAAGGAGATTGTATATCTGAAAGGAAGGGCCCAAAGCTTTTTATTCTCTAATATGATTAAGCATTAGTGAAAATGTGATTGTAATGTTTAAAAATCTCAAGAACCGGGCTAAAAATGTTGAAATGTACCCAGTAAATGAAACCTTATTTACGTAGTGAAGATCTCAAATCATGACCCTCGGTGTGGGATTGGACCACATTGGGGACAAAAATTTTTACATTGAGGCCATGATTAGTAACATTGACGTGGAAGAGTTCTTCAAAATTCTTAAAAGCGTGACCATCATAGCTCTTACAGAAGAAAACCAATAGAAACTTATAAGTGTTTTATAATCCACTTATTAGCAATTTATAAGTCACTTATAAGTGTACTATTTAAGTCAAAGTAAGTATAAGTGGGGAACAGATTTTGTTAATACTTAACTTATAAGGAAAGATGAGCTACATATCGGTGAATATTTCACTTATACCTCACTTATAAGTGAAGATCAGTATCGTATGAGCAAGAATAAGCGTGGACTTAGAATTTTTCCCCTATTAATAGTAGACTTCTCTCTTGGAGCATTATGGGTATTCAAGGTAACCAATCAGAAAGTTTGTCTCTGCAGAGACGAGCAACAAGAATTTGAAACTAAGTTAGTGTCAGTGAAAGGATGATGTAGGAGATTTTAGATTTATTTTGAGTATGCCTTCATATCAGGTACAACAAGTATAGGTTCTATTTACATCATCTTTTTATTTTAACTTCCTAAATGCCTAAAATTTTGAATCAATTGACTCAGCTGCTTTCAGATGTCGTAAATTTGAAGAAGACTCAAGGTCATTAAATCTTGTTGCCTTTTTGTCCAACATTCTTGTTAGTAAACTGAATTAATATGTTAAGTTTGCATCATCAAAGAATGTACCTCATATGAAAGGGACTTTTTTCATAGAAGGTTAACTTGATTATTTCATCTAAAGTGCAAATACCTATGTATATGTAAAAAAAGAAAGCTTTGAACATATGCAACCCCTGCATGATTGGAAGTTCTGTTCTAAATTAAGATCTTAAAAGTAGTGTTGTACTTCACTTATAAGTGACTAATAGATGACTAATACTTGATGAAGTATAAAGGGCTAATAAGAGGGTATAAAGACATCTTTAAAAAAACAAAGCATCTGAAGGGGGAGGGGGGGGGGGGAGAGGGTAACAATATACGTACAAAAGTTTTACATAAGAATATATGATAAAAAAGTTCTGATGAAAAACAGCAGAGATATATTGACTCAAGTGAGTGTTAATGCCCATGGGCCTCTTGTTCACGATGTCGGCGTCAGTGTTCCAGAACAAGATTCAAGAACAAATGTATTGGCTGACGTGGTCCACAGGTACT